CGGCGGCGGCGGCGGCTTCCCAAGCCGGCGGGGCGCGCGGCGATGCCCGTGGAGAGCACCTTTGGCAGCACGGTCCGGCCCCCGACGGCGGCCAGCGCGACAGGAACTTTCTCTTCGTAGGAGTCATGACCGCCCAGAAATACCTGCAGACCCGCGCCGTGGCCGCTTACAGGTGAGCCCCTGCTGCCCGGGTACCGGCCCTTGCAACGGGCATCCCGACGGCCGCCCTCGCTGCTCACTTCTTTGCCAGCTTCCCAGACCAGCGGCTCCAGGGTATCTGTGGCATCGGGCTGTCCCGCGGGCGATGGCCAGTATGGGTAGCAGAGGTCACAGGGCGGGATGCTGAGCTTCATGAGTCCGGGGCTTTGGAGCGGGGTGGCTGCTCAGGGTGTGGTTCTCACGCTGAGCTTTTACAACTTACTGCCATGACCAAGTGTGCTCGCTTTTTGAAAATGGACCTGAAGATCTTTTCATGAGGTTGTTGGAAAACGCAGCCTACCTGTGACAGTGGCCGCCGTGATAGTGAGGATAAGCACCTTTGCGAACTAGAGCTGGCAGGAATTCATCTGGTTAGAGACCTTCCTAGCATCACATGTAGATTTCACTGTTGGAGGCATTCCTGGGTTAACTAGCTCAGTGTAGGGATGAATGTGTGCTATCCTGCATCTGGGCCCTGGCCTTGGCCGCATGAGTCAGAGGAGTGGCTGGGATCCTTGGGGGATTAACAAAGGGATTAGCTAAAGTAGTCTTTTGAAGGGAGATGATTTTGGAATGGCAGGTTGGTATTGGAGTGAATTTGAAGTCGAAGGACAGGGGAGGGGGGTTGTCAGTGAAGGGATCTGTTGGGAGCCTAGTAGGCATGGGAGACACAAGGCTTAGGTGCGAAGCTCCCCCTTCACCCAGCAAGGAGGGGAGGTCCTTTGGGAAGGAACTGTGAGGGCAGTCAGTGCTGAGCGAGGTCAAGCCACTTCAGTCCTTAAATCTAGTCCTGGTCTAAATCTTCAGGGATTAGTTGTTTGGGAAAAAGCATATACAGACTTCTGTTCCAGGGGAAGAAGTAAAGACTTGAGAAAGGTGAACAAGCTGTAGAGAATGTGCCCTTGGGGTGTACCGGCCCCCATTTCTGTGTGTTTCAACTGGATCTTGCTTAAGTCCAGAGCCCAGGTTCTGCCAGGAAGCATCCTGACTGACTGAAATGTTGGTGGGGTAAAATAGATTAACAGCGACATGAGAACATGCAGATTGAGGTTTTCTCCCAGATGAACTGTGAATTTCCTGCAGTTACTTTTGGGATCGGAAAACATCCACCTCAGAAATTGAGGGTGGACTGTATCTACTGTTTGTAGCATGAATTTGAAAGGAAATTCATGTGACTGCCATTGGTGACAAACCGTGTGAAGTCACAACTTTGGGGACAAGTACCAAGAAATGGTTTGTGCAAATAGATTTGTGACTCCTTGCCCCCCACCCCCTAACACAATACATTTTCACCAATCAGAATATACAGACCAGCAGGGTCCTGTGGCATCAGAATTACCCAGAAAATGTGTTGCAAGGTAGAGCTCCTTTATACCTGGAAATAATCTCGTCTCAAATTCCATATTTAGCATGCTTGCTTTTGACCTTTCCAAGACCACCTACTTCATCTTTCTTGGATGGAGACTTTTATGTCCCTGTGTCTTTTCTTTCCAGCAGTTAGAAGTAGAAACCAGGCTTTACTCTCTGGCCTGGGTTCTCTCTGTGTGACAACTATATCTTCCTGGTAAAGAAAGATCCTTTCCAGGAATCACTGTACCCTATCTACTGCTTCTGTCTTTCCCAAATGCCCCCTCTTTTATTGCTATCATCTTAGGTCACTTTACTTTAGGGCCTAAGGGTGGCCCTCCTCTGTTCTCTGGCAACCCTGTGTTTAGATGACTGCTGGAGATGTGGAAGATGATTTTAGCCTTAAGGAACTTTGGGGGGAAGCCTGAATCAGGATGGAAGGTATAGGGTGTAACTTATGATTATGGCTTTGCCATCCTTTACAGCCTGGGCCAAAAGTCTGCCCTCCGCTTTTAAATTAGAAAATTCTTGTACAGCATAAAAGTCGGCTTGGATCTTCTAGCTCAGGGTAGAAGTCTGATCTGACACTGGGTGTGTCCCCTTTTACATTTCCCCTAAAAGGCAAGTTACTTACTTTACCTTGGGAAAAGTTAATGTTTCTTTGTTTCTAGTCTTTAAAGTTGTTTGGCTTATGGGTCAAAGGAGATGCCAACATTTTTAGAAAGAAATTTCTAAAAGTTACTATTAAAAAGTAGCATTTAGGGGCCACTTCCTGGTGGGGCAAGGGGTTAAAGCGCAGCACTATGAAGCTATCTGCAGCCTCTGCAGCACCAGTTCCATCCCAGCCAGGGAGGTGAGCAAATATCCCCTCCGCTGCTCCCCTCAGCATGTATTTCCATCAGTCCACTCTGTCTCTGGTGAATCCTCTCACCTGCACCTCTGGCCTGTACCCCAGTTCTTGTATGCATGAATAATCATTCTTAAAAAAAAAAAATAAGCATTTAGCCATTTTATGGGGGTGGAATGGGTAATGGGATCAAAAACAGTGGGGGAACGAAATGCACTGAGCTATGGTGATGGCACACGGGTGATTTGGTGATGGGAAGCCCACGGGGATGACAGCTGAGATGGAAAAAGACACACAGTGATGTAAAAATAAACTATGATATTATTTAAAGAAAAAACATTTAGCACTAATACATACTTGAAATGTTGAAAATGGCAATGTTTAGTTCTGAGGGCTAGTAAACTGGTAAGCATGCCTTTCTGAAGACTGAGATGAGAAGGGCGTTAAAAAGCTTTTGTAAAATCAAGAGCTACATCACTGTGTGCTACAGTGACTGCCCTTTAAGAATGGAACGGCTCATCATTTCCAGCCTGCCAGCTGCTCCAGTTGGGGAGAGGGAGGGGCACCGTGAGTTGTTAGCAGTGCTGTGACAGCTGATTGCAGGCAAGACACACATTTTGAAAAGCGGGCAGAACAAAACTCAAAAGTGGAGCTGATCCGAGGCCAGTCAGGGCGAACTTCTTTCATGCGCCCTGAGTAGACACTACAGCTGGTAATTTGCTAGGAGTGATTCTGGTTCATCAAAATGCTGGGATAAACTTAGAATTCATTCCTTTGACGTATACATACACGGCCCCCGTGGCTCCACATGAGTGTTGGGGACACGGTTGTGGCAATGCATGTTCTCAAGAAGCTGCCTTTCCAGAGGGAGGTACAGACACTGGAAGGGATTTTGGTGAGGGGTGCTGACACTGGGCAGGGTACGGACAGTGAGTACCGCGTCCTCTCTGTTCAGCCTTCTCGGAGAAGGCTTCCTGCCACGATGTGGTTAGTGTGTGGGCTGAGGTCTCATAATGAGGAACAGTCACGTGACTATCACTGATGAGCCATAGGCAGAGGGAAGACCTGGTGAATCCCAAGGTGGCAACCAGTTTGGGAAGATGACCGGAGGCCAGTGGAAGGACGAGAATGAAGCCTGATGGTGTCCAGTCGTGTGGATTTGGCTCCAGTGAATTAGAAAGTCTTTGAAGTTTCATGCAGCAAAGAGAGGTGATTGCATTCTGCTTGTTGTGTGGAGAATGGATTGAGAGGAGGCAAGGACGTGTGACCGGAACTAGTGTGGCAGTGGAGACAGAAAGGGTGTCTGGCGCCAGGACCTCTGCTGCTGAAGGAATGCTTACATGGGGTGACCAGGAACCTCTGCTGGCATCTGGATGTTGCCTTGAATGACAGGATGGCGCTTCTGCCATCGAATGAGATGGGGAGACTAGCCTAGGGGAAATGGGTAGAAGTAGGGAAGCAGAGATCTGGTGTCTCACCCACCCCCCAGTTTTAGTGGACTCTCATTATGTAATATATCACCAACTTCATATCTACACCCCCACCCCCATCCACATCAGGATTTCATCTCGCATCAATGCTGAGCAGTGAGACATAAAGATAATCACCATAATTCGCTTCAAAAAGAGAGCCAGCACATCTTGCTTTCTTTTAATGGGCAAAATTGACATCACACGCTGTGGAAAGCACAATGGTCAGTCCAGCAAGCCCACAGGATCCTGAAGCGCGGAGGCACTGTGCGCTGGTGGGGTCCTGGCGCTGCGTGTCTGGCCTCGAGCTGGGTCTAGATTCGGGTATGACTTTAATGCTGAGTGGAGATGTGGAAAGCCCTAAGCAGATGCAGTGTCCACAACCCCCCTCCCAGGACTTTACCTTCCAGGAACTTGAAACCGGCCCCACCCCGCTCACATGGCTGACCTGACCGTCCCCTCCCCCGCATATGGCACTTCATATGGCACCTCAGACAGCGTCTCCACCACTGTGATGGGGCTGCACCCTGGAGGGCTTTCACCTCCTCCTGGGAGGACTTTGGTTACTTAGGAAAAAACCTCCCACTCAGCTCTCTCCTGGGGTCTGGTCCGCAGTCTGCTCTCCCCGGTGGCCACCTCATCGTACTTGTCGCTGCTGTCAGGACCACCGTCCAAGCCCAGCCAGCTCGGCCGCGGTGGCCCAGCGGTCATGGCATTCTCTTCAGACGTGTCAGCAGTGGCAAGGTCAGCAGACAGGTAACCTTCACACTGCTCTCTCCGGCTCTGACGTCAGATCTTTGACCTCGTGCGTGCGTTAGGCAGGCGTGCCGGGCGTCTCCCGTTCTGAGCACCCTCAGGAAGGCAGACGCCCTCCCACCGCCATGTTTTTGGTGGCTTCTGTCCACGCTGTTAGTGACAGGGAAGGGTTACTCTGGGCTCTCCGAGGTCATGGCCAGGTAGTTCAGCTCCTTTATCAAAAGCCTCCAGCCTTAGTGGCATGTTGGTGCCCACATGGGGCTGTGGGCTTGGTGAGCAGTGCCAAAGGCGTCTGGTGTAGCCATCCCTCGGAAAGTTCCTGCTGTAGCTTGCTCAGCTTTAACCTTATTTCCAGAAGCTTCCTTTCCCTTTGCTTCTTCCTCTACGTGAAAAGGAGGTTTTCCAGCCTGACGACAGATTCAGCGGCAGGTCAGCTCAGAGTTTCTCCCACACAGCCCTTCAAGGACAAACCATCCTTGTGGAGCAAAGATTTCAGTTCTCTCACAGGTGGCTCCGAGGAGTACTACTTGTCCCGCATGGGGCACTGTCTAGCCC